CAAGGGGTAATGGGTATAAGCTGAAAGACCGTAGATTTAGACTAGACATTACGAAGAAGTTTTTCACTGTGAGGGTGGTGAGACACTGGAACAGGTTGCCCAGAGAAGCTGTGGATGCCCCATCCCTGGAGGTGTTCAAGGCCAGGCTGGATGAGGCTTTGAGCAACCTGGTCTAAGTGGAGGGTGTCCCTGCCCATGGCAGGGGGGCTGGAACTAGGTGATCTTTGAGGTCCCTTCCAACCCAAACCATTCTATGATTCTATGACTCTATGACTTACGAGCATAAATAGGAATTCAGAGTGACCTCAAAGTTAGGACAGCCACATTTTAAGTCTGACAGGGAAACACTGTTCACATAACACATACACACACCAAAAAAAAAAAAAGGAAACTGGGGCAGAACAGTTTCCCACAGAAGATAGCAAACATATGGAAACTTGGCACATAGAGAAAGCAACAAAATCTGTAAGCATGCTCAAGGGAAAATCAGTTGGAGGGGCAGGGCGGAGATTGAGGGATATGAAACAGCTATAGGAAAATAAAACTTACTCAAAAAAAGAGGAGGGAAGACATCTTCAGCATTTTACCTTTTTAAAATTTTAATTTAATTTTTGCATTTTCTGTTCCAATTTTCTTTAGAAGGCTGTCATCTTTTCTGCCTAATATGAGAGTTTAAGCACAGTCCTTGCAAGTATTTACAAGTAATGTAATCTTCAATACTACAAATAGTCTCAAAGAACTTTATACAGACACTGCCTGCAGGGCTGGGTTGTTACTATGTGCTAACAATACTAAGATACATCTGAGTTCAGCAAGTCTTTGCAAACTACCAACAGAAAATTCACATATTCTTTTTGACTAAGAGGTTAGTCAGTCAAAAACTTGGAAACAACAAAGGCTGTTCCAGTTAACAAGAAAAAATGGTGCTGGAATTGGGCTGTTTCTCTTAAGAAATTCTATTTATTTACAAGGAACATACAAATCCTGTTTCCATAAACAGAAAAGAACAACCAGCAAAAAACACGCTTTAGAACAGACATTTCCAAAATTGTTTCTGCCAGCCTTCAAGTACAAACCTCTCTCTTTTTAGACTCATTTTTCTTTGCCAGTAACATTCCCAGGGGCTTTTTTTAGGCTTCATCTAGTGCTTCTCTCCAGGCAAACCTCTCTAGCCTTCTGCCCTTAACCTCTCTGCATTTTCTGCCTTTCTTAAACACAACGTACCTCTTCATAAAACACCATCTGACAGATATGCTAGTATTCCCACAGAAGCAAATTTTTGGGGCAGTGACAATGCTTTGATTCGAACTGCCGTTGCTTACTAAATAACTTGACAAGTTTTCACAACTCTCTTTCTAAGGAAGAGGTACTAACATTATGGTTTCAGAACATATCCACAGTCATAAGGCACTTTTTAAAAAAGGGGATACTTTAAAATCAAGATAATTTGCAATAATGAAACATACCTTATTCTCTTTGTATCTACTGAGATCTCCTATACAGTATTCTTTGAACAATTTATCGTAATACTTCTTTGCAAGCCTCTTCTCCCTATAACAAAAGGTATTATTTTTTATTAAATATATAACACTATACAATTAATTTTACATTGTAATGACATTAGCAAGACAAAGACATGGTGTTTCATTCAAAGACCACAAGTTGCGGAACAAAAAAACACTCACGGGGCTAAGGGATAACCTCCATAAAACTGGAAAAATACATCTAAAATACATCTCTAGCACACATTAAACTATATCTTTTCAAACCAGGCTTCCTTCAGAGCTTTCAAAACAGTCGTTTGGATCTCAAAGAATGCACACATATTTCTCAGTTCGTTCTGTCACCAATTCATTTTGCCACTGACCAATATTACAATATGAAAGACCTCCTAAAGGTCTTTCATTTTTAAATGCTTTGAAGATCAGAGAATTATCACTAAGTTATTCTTAATTAGTAGGGGCACAGCAAATTTAGTACAAGTGATCTAAAAATAACACATTCTATAATAGTTTCAGGTACCAATTCATGTCTGCTTCATCATCTTCATTCCACAGGAATCTATGGTTTTCTCTAATAACATCAAGATCCGTCTTGTCATTTGCTCTATAAAAGGACACATTTTTTTTAGTACAATGTAACATTAAAATAAAAAGTCAGTAAAATAATAATTTAGTATTGTGATCTCCAACTCACCGCGTACGGGAATATGGAATAAAACTAACAGAAAATGTATTCCCTGGCATACCTTTTCACAAACGAAAAATTCACAATGGAAAATGGCCACTGAAACTGTGGACGGCTTGATCCTGTCTGGAAATACTTCTTATACTTTTAACTGAAGGCAGTGATGTTAGAAGCCAGTTATAGATAGCTCTAAAGAAGGTTATCATTATTCTGGACAACGGATAGCAATTCTGCACATTTTGAAAGTATTTCAGATTGTTATTTTGAAGATACTGCCAGATATTTCTCAATGTACCCTCAATGAATGCTCACCTGTCATCTTTCCTTTTACATAACAAAACAAGAATAATTCAGCTCATGGTAAGTTCTTACATAAAAATAAGGCAATTCGGTGCTTTGGATATTTACAATGACTGCAGTTACTATTTGTGACCAAAAGAATTAGTAATTTGATACATAGCCACATCCCTCTCTCCCCACAAAGGTACAATAGATGTTTAACAGCTTTATGTAACAGGGGAGCTTTGGGGACAGGGGTGGAAAGATTGCTAATGGTTCTTACCCAGAACGTCGGAAATCCTCTATTTTGCCACCATAGTACAAAATGTAGTCACTCACAAACTTTTTATGCCTCTCATACTGAATAAAGCAATTAAGGATTGTTTCAGAACTTATCTTCTTTTATTTTACCATACTAAAACAATAATAAAAACTTTTTATATACTTAACAGAAAGAAGGGTTTTTTCCTCAAAAACAGTTCAGTAATTTCCAGAAAGCAAGGAACAAATTAGCAATTTTTACTTAATAACTTCAAATAAAAGCTACTTTCCAAATACAGGAATTCAAGGAAATTTAATCTTTAAAACCTCATTCAGCTGCTAGACCTTTATAAATTTGTCTTCCTTTATCAAAGATGCTCTGTACACATATACATAGAAACTGGCTTGATTTTTCTAGATGTAATTTAAACAACAGCTTCTTAGCACTGCAACTTCGGTTTAAAACAGGTTTGTATTTTTGTATTATATAATTCGTCTGGCTAATAAAATGGAACAATTTATTACATTTTACCATCACTATACATATAAAAGCTATCTGCTTCAGTTTGGAGATGAAAATCACAGGAAAATAGGTAATTTTTTTTCAGAACACTTCAGACTCAGAGATACGATTTGAAACACATTTTGTACCATAATTTGAGCAAAAATATGTAATTACTTATTCAGAAAATAAGCATCTTCACAAATAAAAACATGGCTACTTAAAAACATATTTTCAATTAACTTGTACAGTGTTTCTGAAGCAGCAAATTAGGAAATACATTATCTCCTCATACATAACCTGGTAACTACTGCATCAGTCTGAATAATTTGTATCACTCTACTATTTTGACATGCATTAGAACTTTACTGAGGAAACACTTTATTTGCCAAAGGCCCCCAAAAAGTTAATTTAACCTCTGTATATGTCTTTTTGTTTCTTTCCACCAGAAACGGAACAGAGAAGCAAGCCCAGAAGGCGTAACTGGCACAATTAAACACATTTAACGTGACATAGTATTTTGTCCTGCCATTTGAGTTACTATGCATTAAAATTGTGCAACAGGAAAGGTTTTAAATAGGAACCACTCAAAACTTTAGCAGAAACTCATACAAGTCTCTACACAATGAGTTTTGTAGTCATTCCACAATATATGGGCTTTTCTGAGGCTAATGACAGTCTATAATGTCAGTGGAACCAATTAAGATATGTCCCCTTCACAGGCATATGACGGTTTATGTAATGCCTGGCCAAATCCTAAGCAGGTCAGGAGAAGTTACTTTCTGTTTACTGAGTTTCCAGATTTAAGTCTTTCCATATTTGATTAGTCTTTACTTTCCTATTTATTAACTGTTACTGCTGAAGAACAGCTATTTAAACAAACAAGGAACTGACGGTATTTCAGATACACTCAGTCAAAACACATAATGACTCCTCCATGTGAAAACTAAATAAAAGGAGACAGGTTGTAAGCTAAATAAGGTAGTAGTTATAAATATAGTTACAAATTATGCATTAAATATGATTAAGAGGTTAAAAAAATAAAACTGCATGTGATACTAAACAGGCTTACATTAGAGCATCTGCAGAAGATATTACTGGAAATAAAGCTGTTTTAAATAGACTTTTGAATTAACTAACGCATTGTTAAATTTCCAGTAGAAATGTATTTGTCCACAGATAATAGCAGCCTTATATAGAATTATGTTCTGTATAAACTCAACTGAAAGAGCAAAGTGTCTTTGTGCCAGCCTAAATAAAATTCACTGTATAATAATTTTGTCCCAAACAAGACAAATGAGCATACAAGAAGAAGCTGGAAATGCCTCTACCTCAGCAACAAAAAGCAGCTAATTTGAAGAACAACTCAGTATCTGGTGCTGCACTGTCAAATGTTGTGATAACAGAGAAATCTCAGTATTTCACCATAATGGATAACCTGTGCCTCATCTTCAAACTTGAAGAAAAATGAAACAGAAGGATACAGCATCCATCGCTATCAAGTGAAATCTTCTTTTTCTTGCTTCTTCCCTATTAATAACAAATAAGTTTGAGTGAAAGCTATCTTTACATTAAGGGAAAAATGCCTCACAAAAGTAATAGATAAAAGATACCTGTCCCATTCTTCAGCTGCAAATTGTCTGTGAATCACACTGCCTTGTTTTGCTTTTTGGAATGGCTTTATGAGAAGGCCATCTTCCTTTATACTAAAGGTAAGGGAGGAAAAGGAAGAAAAGTTAGTTAAGAACTTTTCATAAGCAATACAATTTCCATATGCCAAACTTTGCGCTAACTTGAGTAACAAAAACTGTGGTATTGCTAGTTTCAACATGAATAACACCAAACTTCAGAACCAACATCAACTCAGACTTTAATTTATTTGCATAACAAAATTGGAAAGGCATTTGTTTACAGCTAGTATTTAAATTGTTCACAACAGCAATTTGTAATATTTATCACTATTATCACTATAGAACCACAATGAAAAACGCCTGAAGTCCTCAGTTTCACTCTGTATTTAAAGTCCTCTATGAATCTCAGCTACACAGCCAAGTAGGAACAGGAAGGACAGTATGTTCACTGGGTAAGAGTGACTGCTAGTAACCCTATCCCATCCTTTCACACTAATGTCTCAACATCGCATTAAACAGCTCTCTTCTCTTAGTGTAATCACAAGAATTGCTAATTTAAAACTTAAGTACTGTGTTGTGAACTATACTTGTCAGTGGGCAGCTAAAAATACTTTCAAAATTCAACAAAGTAATAAAAAGTTAAATATAAAGTGAGGTACTTTAGCCAATAAAAGACCTATTTAGTTAGTTTCATTCCTCAACAGAGGTTAAGAAAAGATTTTTCCATAATTATCAGCTGGCAGAAAGAATGGAAGTCAGAAACCTGTAGAAAGCAAGCCAGGGAATTTATATTTCAAGCTATGGAATATAAGACTCCAGAAATTAAGGGTTTCAAATGCTCAAAAGGATCTATAGGCACAAAATTCCTATAAGGAGACTCCATAATATCACCATAGAGCAAGAAAATGACCTATACATATACAGTGAACCCACTTAAGAGCCCTACTGAGAATCAGCAGTAGTGTGCCAGACAATGGTAATGATGGTATTTTCAAAAGGCTCCTGACGGTTAGTCAATATTCCACCTAGGAATTGGAATGGCAGATGTGTAATGGCCTTTTAAAGAAAATGAAAACTGAACAAAACCAGTCATTGTTTTAATGGAGAACAGCTATATTTATAAAATAAATGGAACAGCACAATGCCTGCTATTATTCGAATGATTATAACATAATTTTTTTTTTTTTCCCCAGAATGCAGTCAGACACTACAAACCCCATTCTTTCAATTTTACTGCAAAGGAAAATATGCAAGAGTCCGAGGAAAGTCTCCAGAAAGCCTTTATAAATAAAGCCAAATAACAGAGCAAGGGAAAGACAGGAAGAAGTAAGAAAAACATATTCATATTGTAGGCAAAATGTTCAGTATGGTGCAGAAAGTGTCAAAGTGCTATGGTGCCAAAGCAAAATACATACATAAACAAATAAGTAAATAAAAAATCTTAATCATATAATGAGATCAGACTGCAAAATTCAGGGTCACTAACTGTGCAAACCACTGAAAGAACTGGCAAAGGCAACCTCAAATAAGAGACATCTAACTACATTGCAAGGATTGAGTACAACACAATTCACCAACTCCCATGTCTGTTCACAAACTACGTAATAAACAAGTAGCATTAGTTCTTCACTTCCTCCTAGCAGCTGTTTTGTATCTACAAAGCTTGCTGCCCCTTGGCCTTTTTTTTTGCCTTGCTCTCTTAGCAGTTCCATGTGTCCTGATCACAGCAAAGCCAACCCCAGCAGTTGATACTAACACTCAGAAAAATTAATCACTCTGCTCCAAAAACTGAGGGGCATATAGATACCAGAACAGGTCTTCATCAGCTGTCCCTGGGAGATTACACACTTTGTCAAGCTTGACACGAGAAGATGCAGGAATCAAAGAGACTGGTTTTTCAAAAACCACTTCAACACCAGACTTTACATATCACAGCATAATCTTCTATACACAGTAACAGGCCATTTGCACAAAATACATAATGCAAAGTGTTAATTCTGTACTACATTACCTTTTGGTCTTTTGCACAGACTTCTCTCCACTCTCCTCGTCACTAAAATCAGAATCATAGCCTCCATGGCCATGTGCCTGAAAATAATAGACCATACAGTCAATATACCTGCTTATGTAATACAGAAATGGCATAACTAGAAATCAGTACTGTCCATCACACATAAATAAAAGAGAGAAAGACAGAAAGCAAGCAAGCAAGTGCAAATTCTCACCTGTGTCTAAATCAAACCAAATTCAACAAACAACGCAGAGTATATTCCAAATAATACAGGGCAAAGAAAGACATCGTCAGTCTGTCAAAAGATCACTTTATAAATAATTTATATGCTGATGTCCCCATATTTAATCTTCACATAGATGCAGATAACCAAAAGTATGATAAACTTCTTTGGTCTTTACTCTCAATCAATCTTCCTTATACAAGAAAAAGGTGTTTTCCCCAGCAGCTACTCTTTCAGAGGGCTGGAGGAGAGTAACTGATGTGCACACACATTCTTGGTCTGTGGTACAGCATTTTAGATCATTAGATCTTACATTGGTAGCTGGAAAGCTGATTGAAACAATAACTAAAACACAAAACAACAATATGCCTGCAAAATGTGCCATCTAATCAGCACAACATTCCTACCATGAAATTAAATATTTTTTCCCAAACACTTTGGGTCTATAATTTCACATTAATGCATATAAGAAAACCAAAATATCACATATCCTAATGCCATCAAACAATCAAGCACTGACTGATGTCCAGATCTACCACCTCCATTTTTCAAGGCACAGTCACACGTTCAATTCTTTCAGAAGTAATAGCTTAAGTAGATCCCATTTTCTCTCCCTCACTCCTACTCTACTGCCTTCCTTCCAGCTGCTCAGTTACAACTGTGAAACTGCACATGAACCAGATCAAACAACTCACTCAAGTTACAAAGGATCCTACACAAAACAGATTATTTTAACCCACATAAGTTTCCTGACAGTTCACCCAGACCCCCCCAAACAGCTCGACCAGCCAGCTGAAGATATAGCACATTAAGAGAACAGCCAGAGACGGGAACTGCATCATTCGGCACGAACACCAAAAAAAGCATTTACACAACTGGAACATTTACATAACTAAGCTGAAAACAGGAGGGATGGTTATTACACATCTGCATGGGGAAGGTTTGACACATACATCCTAAGTATCTTGGTAGTTCAGACTGCGGATGAGAAAGGAAACTGGTTTAGAAAACCAGTGTATTTGATTCATCACTGCTGATTCCTACATTACCTACAATTATATTCCTCCTCAGACAAAAAACTGAGAAGAACAAAACCTGCAAAAAAGACACATCTCTTCAGGATGATTTTGATGAGGTGCCTTCTCTGGATGCAAATGCCTCCCAGAAATGCCATGCTAGATAGTCAACTGCATCCTCTGCTGACATCAACAATTGGTCTGTACCACGCAGAGTATGTAAAATACTATCTTCTCATACTGACGGCAAAGGATTGATTTTTAAGATTTTTTTTACATTATTTTTATTACTAATAATAAACTGTACCTTTTTTCCTTGCTTTTATATTGTAATGTTCTTTCCACTGTTGAACTCTTCTGAAGACACAGCTCTCTTACATATACATTGGAATAAAAGCAAATCAAAACTGCCTGATTTGCTTTTATGTTTTCTATTTCCCAGGAGACACGAAAATTATCAGTTACTACAAAAAAGTGCAGCAGATGTCTGCAGTGTCTGGTGTAAGGGCAGCACTGGTGTGAAGTCCTCCCAGCACAGTCCCATGATAATCCACAGTTCAGATGCAGGTATCCTAGCTGAGGTGGTTCTAACAACAAGCCTGTCACTACTTTTATTAGTGAAGCATATGTTGTCTTTTAAAAAGGCCGAATACATTTTGAATGTGCAGCAAATACATTTTTACTTGCCCTCTAAATTTCAAAAAAATAATGGTAATGCAGGAGTGTTTTAAATGGCAAACATAACGCTTCCCAGATGAACACTGAGAGCTTTCTTCACACTCGAAAGGGGAAAAAGTCCAAGCAACACAATGTGCATGAAAATCAACACGAGACAGATGAAGTATAAAAACAGGCAAGAAGAGAAAAGCTCAGATGAAATGAGATTTTCCCAAAGTGGTTGCCCTTGGATGATGCGCCCCAGGGAAGAAGTAGACATAATCCACAATCAGCTCCCAACCCATTCTGGGAACGACTCAAATAAAGAAAAAAGATACAAGAAAAGCTGCTCCAACAGAGTCATACTGTAGGCCTCTCAGCAATTAATGACTGCCTTTTGGAAAGCTAAGACTATGAATGTAAGGGTAGGCATGGCTAAGGACCAGGTCCTGAGACACTGCTCTTTGACAGGAAACCTCTTCACAGCTTCAGCCATACCTCTGAATCACTACAATCACTCAAAGATAAATTCAGGGTGAAGAAGAGTACAACCCATGACTGAAGTCCTGACACTTCTAGGTCACTCCTTCTTCAAAGGCAACAGCAGCACGGGCAGGTACCGTACCAAAGCTGGGTTTGACATCAGCAGGTCCAGCAGTGCTGGACAGCACTCTTGGGAGTGAACAATTACTGATGTGATGCCTTAGGATGATACCCAGATGACCTGACTTTTAGGTAAAACATAAGAATGAACTCCATCAAAGAATCTCATCCAGAAGTAAATCTCTCCCTTTTGGAAGGACAGTGTAAACAGACACTTGCTTAATGTTGGGAAATTTCAAGACTGATTTCTCCCGTTCTCCACAAAAAAAAAAAAAAAAGCCAAACAACAGTCCCAGAAAAGGAAAACATATTTAACTGCAGTAAAAGAGAGGCAGATACTAAAGCTCTGTGCCTACACTGGTAGATTTTAAAAGAGGCATACACAGACCTGGACATGCAAAATTGTCAAGAAAAATTTTAAACTACTTTCACTATTTGATTAACCCTTTAATATAATCTTTGCTTTGATGGAATTTTTCAGAAACTCAGAATGCTTTTATTAAATTAGTAAGGTAAATACCACACATTTTATCAAAACATGAACTTGAAAGGTACATAACTTAAATGGTACACTGTGTTTTGTCTGTTGCACCGATTTAACTTTTTTTCCCAAACAACAAAACAAACTGAAACCACAAAACTTAAACAAATACCAATATGCTTTGGGATACACTTAAATCCCTGACATTTAAGTAATCCCCACATCTTGGACTAATTAATAATGAAGCAACTGGAGACAGAACCAAACCCACTAACTTTGGGCTCCTAAAACCCAGCAACTTAAACACAGTAAATGTACACTGTACGCAACTGAGGGCAGATAGCGATGTCAACTGTTGATGTCAACACCGGACACTACAGACTCCCCAACACTGCCTTTACAAGAGGTTTTTGCATCCACAAAAGGCACCTCCTTTAACCCTCTCCGCTAGGGTAAAGACACACTAGTGAACTGACACATCATAGCTCATGTTGACTCCTGATCATAAAATGCAGCTGACCGGAAAAAGTTAAAAAAAAAGACAAAAGGCAAAACAATCCCACACACAAAATGCCAACTCGTGGCTCCTCACCTCAGGCCTCATCCTGCTACTCCCCTCACAGTGTCACTCCCGTCCTTCCCTTTATCTGCCCAGCACACAGCTCTGTAATCGCGTTTCCTGACAGTGCGGATGGGGCCCAGAACAGACCTGAGTGCTCATTTTGGTACAAACAAACTGCTCCGGGAGGTCTGAAGGGATCATGGGATCTAGCATGGGGCTCGGGGAGCTGTCCTGGCTGGATAAAGGGTGCCATGCAGAGGGTCAGCATGCTTCACTGAAAAACGCTCTTGCCACCTCGATGTTGTCTTTGAGGCTTTGCAACCCCCACTTGGGGGAAAAAACCTGAGAGTAAGTACAATTAGCTTCAAACCTACTCTTCCTTTTAAAACCAATTAGGAGGAGTATTTGCATATACCGTGCAGTGAACACCCCTAACAAAGGGAAAGACACCCCCAGCCACTGACACTTTAAGAGACCCCCCCAGCCACTGACACTTTATTAAAGCTCTAGAACTATGAAAGGAGAAGCAAGAGGCACAGGTAGGTAGCAGCACACCACAACAGTGAGGATCAGAGCTTTGTGGGGGCCCCACGGAGAAAAATCACACCGAAAACCTGCCCGTGTGGCCCTCACA